AAATATCTGAAGTTCACATTAAGAAAATAATCACAGATCAGTCCTAAGAACAATAAATGTCATTATAACTACTGTGGATGTGCACCTTGTTCACATGGATGTAATGTTAGTTGAAATTGTTATAAGTTTAGAAAGAAATGTGCATGAGAAAGATAAATGTAAATCAGCTTCTGAAAGTAAGTGTTCAGATTAATTTTCATAAGTAAATGATGTATTTGTTTGTAGACTGCATATTCATATTAATATTAGTTGACATTGTCTTGCACTAGTTTTTTTGCATTGTGTTCTCTATGACTACTATATAATATAAAGATTTATGGCTTCATAAAAATACTGCTTTTGCAGCACTTGACTAGTGGTGCAATGCACCAGAACAGGATTCTGGCATTTATTTTGGTACCTGGAAAGGTGTTCTCACACTTTTTGGACAATTAATGAAAATTTTTATAGAGCAAACTATGAATTTGACTACACACATTAAAAGATATATCAAAAATCATCACCATCCTGTTATCGAATAGCCCAAGCAAAAAATGAAATTAAAAATTAGGTATTTTTTGTTGATTTATTGTGTGTGTGCAACATTTTCCATAGATGTGATTAACTTACATTTCTCTTTAAGCTTGGGCCCGGCATGGCCAGGTGGAAAAGGCGCTCGACTCGCAATCTGAGAGTCGCAGGTTCGCATCCCCGTCCCACCAAACATGCTCGCCCTTTCAGCCATGGGGGCATTATAATGTGACGGTCAATCCCACTATTCGTTGGTAAAAGAGTAGCCCAAGAGTTGGCGGTGGGTGGTGATGGCTAGCTGCCTTCCCTCTAGTCTTACACTGCTAAATTAGGGACGGCTAGCGCAGATAGCCCTCATGTAGCTTTGCGCGAAATTCAAAAAACAAAAAACAAACAAACTTTAAGCTTGATAAACACCAGATGTGAAAAGGATAAATAAATAAATAAACAATTATATTTTTTTAAATAAGCTAGAACAGATCATTGGTGAAGCAAATGGTTAATCCACATATCGTTTTTTGGCTCTGTTACTTTTGAAATGCATTGTGTTATTATTTACATCCTTGTAGCATGCACCTACAGCACAGTATGATCAGCTGATTAGTTTTGTAATAATAACAGTACATAAATTATTAAAAAATGTCTTTCAAACAGAAACCATAGTTTTTAAATGTCACTGGATTTTAAACATTGTTTTAGTTTTTTTATTTTGTTAACTTAATTTTGATACTACTTTATAATAGGTCATTTTATTTTTTATTTTCATTAATTAAAATGTTACAGCTGTGTTATTTTTAGTTAATTTTTAAGTTTTGTTGAAATGATGTAGCATGTTCTAGCACTTCTTTTTTGGTCAAGCACTGTTTCTTTGTTTTCTCTATAAAAAAAAAGGGGGGGGGAAGCAAAATTGATTACCAAGGATGTTGACCAGGTAAGCTTGTATGCAAAATGAAAGAGGTATTAATCAAATTCATTATTGCATGGAATAATAAACATGGATAACAATTTTTCACTTAAAGAAAGCACAAGGTCTGCTTGGTGATAAATAAGTTTGTTTGTTTTATTTTTATATTTTTCAGTTGTATAAATAAATAAATATATATATGTATATGTTAAATGGCAAATAGAAACTGTATAATTTATTACAAGAGTGTATTTACATTTTACAGTGATAATTTTAAATTTTAAGTATATATACATATTTAGTTTCATTTGTGTTATTAGAATGTATATTTATTTGTGGAATTATTATGAAAAATAATTGATTGTAAAATACTGTATTAGTTTAATAAGACTGTATCAGTAGCTCTATTGTGTTTAGTCCAGTTATATATGTAAATCTACCAATCCCACATGCAAGTCCTTACAAATTAATTAAACTTGGCAGTGGAATAGAGCGATCACTTAAAACATACACTGAAAAAGCTTGTTGGCTATTTTTTACTTTATGTGCTAGTGAGTTAAGTTTTCACAATCAACATATGAATTGAATTTTTAAACCAACTGTAATTATTTACTCCTTTAATTAAGCACAAAACCTCGAGTGGGCTTAATACAGCATTAATAAAAGACAGACCATAGATTGATATACATGTTATAGGATAAATCTTTAGTTAGTAACTTTATCTTTATGCTAATACTCAACTGTGTTCAAAAATCTTTATGCTAATACTCAACTGTGTTCAAAATTAAGTTGAAGCCTATATTTTGCATTCATGATGCCAGAAAAACACGTAGGTTCAAGAAATCTTGACATAAGATGTTCAAAAATGCTAGGGTTATAGGGTTTTTATCATCTTGTATCAAGCATATATTTTGCATAATGTTGTTTGTACACCATGTGTTTCTAGTGTACCAAATGAAAGTAGAAGGTTTAAATTCTCTAGAGCTTCAAGATGTAGGTTATCTAGTTTATATTGTATAAGCATGGAAGTCAGTTCTCTTAACTTCTTGATTTTTCTGTTTATTTATGTGTAATTATGTAATTTCAAGTTATTTTTACTGTCCCGCATATGTTTTATTTACTATGACTTAAATATGAAATTTAAAATAAAAGCTCAGATTTTATTGTTAATCTGTTAATGTTTCTTAATAATAAATTATTTTCCTAGATTTTTTTTGTGGTATTTAAAAAATTTTTGCTCACTGCAGAAACTCGATTGAACCTTCAAAATTGTAGCTCCATATCAAAGGAAATATGTTGATTACAAAACTAGAGAATAATCTACTTTGAAGATATGTTTTTAGTTTGGGAAAAAAACAACTTTTAGCAGGAGAATTTCATGCAAAAGCATTAAGTGATTGCTTTTTAAATTGAAATACATTATTACTTTGTATAATGATGGCTTGAATGTTATTGTTAGAAGTTTGTGAGGGTTAAAAATGTGCTCAATTTCAAATTACTTTTTTATGAAAGGAAGATATGTTTGTGTTTAGAAAATAACTTTTTTGTTTATGAATTTAATTCTATGTAGGTTAGCAGGATAGAATACATCCACAACAAGAACTTCATCCACAGAGATGTAAAACCTGATAATTTTCTCATGGGCTTAGGAAAAAAAGGGAATCTTGTATATATCATCGATTTTGGGTTAGCCAAAAAATACAGGGATGCTCGAACCAATCAGCATATTCCTTATAGAGAAAATAAGAACCTCACAGGAACTGCCAGATATGCCAGTATCAACACTCACATGGGGATTGGTAAGTTTCAGTATGAAATGACAAGGAATGATACAGAAAAGCTTATAAAGCATGAATTGATTTATGGTAAAAAGTGTCATGAAAGGTTACAACAAAACTTCTAATAACTTTTTAATGTTTAATTTTTAACTGATGAAGAAAGTTTTTTTATTCTTGCAAAAGTGCATTAATAACATTTAATACTTGGTTTCTGGAAGGGAGCAGAGCAGACTTACTCTTTAATTTTAATACTTTTTATGGTATTGTGTTTTTTAAATATTTTGTTTTCATTATGAGACATATCATTACTGACAGTGACTGGACATGATTGGTGGTGTTCATGACAGTTGCTCATCAAATGGAAATGTCTAATTTTACTGGACCCACAATGTGCTCTTGTCAGAATAATATATTGTTTATTATTCAATTAAAAAAACAGTGAGTAAGTCTCGTTTAAGCAGTTACGATTTTTTTTTCATTTTTAAGAACAAAGTCGAAGAGATGACTTGGAGTCCCTTGGTTACGTGTTGATGTATTTTAATCGTGGTAGTCTTCCTTGGCAAGGGCTCAGAGCAGCCACAAAGAGGCAGAAATATGAAAGAATTAGTGAGAAGAAAATGTCCACACCAGTTGATGAACTTTGTCGAGGCTTTCCATGTAAGTTTAAAATGTTAAAACAGCAGGCAAGAATTAAGAAATATATAGCTTTAAATATCGTTTTCTTTTCTCAAGTATTAAAATGATTTAAACTGTATGATCAGTTTCTTTACCGGTGTTTTTCTAAACTACCAGTATACTTTGTATAATGGTTATAAACTATTCCAGGACTAGTAAATAACCCATGTAAATTCAAAGGAAATGGCAACTGTGATAAACATTTTGCATATCTTGTTTTAAATGATCAATTATATGTCTTGTCAATTTCAAGAAAATCTTTGCCGCCAATCCTGAGAGATTCCATGAACCCCCTTAAATGTCCATTAGGATGTTCTCAGTGTGAAAATATATAGAATCTAATTGAAAGATACTTACTTTGGATGATCCCTTACATGTCCACCACAGTAATTTAAGTGTACTTAAGTGGTGCCAATTCCCATGATTCATCATCTAGGTTCCTCAGAATGAAATTTTCAAAAATGTGGACACTTGTTTTGAAAGATTTCTATGTGAGGGCAAAAAATCTGAATGTAAATTACGGTCCTTCATTTGGATAAATACAAGAAGAGCTATAAATTGTTTTCCCTAAACAACCAAGAAGAGAAAATTGCTCTCCTCAGAACAAAAACTTTTTTTTATAGTACTCAATGATGACATCTTTGATTCTTAATTTTGATTACCAAAATCAAGTCAGACAAAAAATGTAATTTTCTGCCCCAGTTCTGCCAAAAGTTATCTTATTGCACAAAAACAACTGAACCAGAAAATTGTGTGTATGTATGTATGATATTGGTTAGCCTTGTGATGATGTTTAACTCTTATCATGACACCTGCATATCAAATTTCAAAATTTAAGTAAAAATAATAGTTTTAACTTTAATTTTTACACTTTTTTAACTAAAAAATTTTATAATCTATATTTTGTCATTTTATAACACCTATTTAGTGTAATTCCCAAAGAAAATGTAAAAAATATTCAAATGTTCATTTCTGCATTATGTTGATCAGAAAGTTCCATTTTATATATCCAGTAAATTTTTTAGAATTTTTTTACCCATTCCAACTTATAGGTTTTTATTTGCTAAGACACTATCATCCTTTGAGGATACAGTTAACTAAATCTTGTTTCTCTGATTTCCCTTCTTTGTCTGAAAATGTATCATTACAGGCTTCTGTTCACATCATAAAAGGGTCAAATCACCCACTAATGAAGAACAGCTGTTAAAATAACTACAGACAAAGTTTAAGTACCATTGGATATTATAAACTATTTACAACAATATAAGTGGTGTGAGAAGTAATTTATGGTTTCATGAGAAAGTAATTACATGCAGTTCCTGAAGAGAAGAACAAAATACTTTAATGGGAAGTTTAGAAGACTTAGGAACAGATTTTGTATTTGGAAATTTTTTGTAGTTTCTTTTGACATTCTTTTTGTTCCTGAAAATACTTTGTGTTAGATTATATTTGTTTGAAAGTTATGGTGATTTCTTCTGTGGCAAGACACCAGGTAAACCTAGGTAGGTTTAGAAAGTGGCAACAGTGGTGGCTACTGCTATCAGTAAAATAAAGTTTCAAGATAAATATGTTATTGAAAATCAATCAAATTGAAATTTACTGGATATATGAAATGGAATTTTGTGATGAACATAAAAAAAAAAGTTAAATTCTATGATGAAAAGGAAGTATTTAAATTTTATTTTCAAAAAGTGACTAACAACAAAATTATAGAAATTTCAGTGCATAAATGATAAAAACAAATAAAATTCCATCAAGATTACGACACTTATGATATACAACATTGTTTATTGACAAAAAAGGGGACATGGA